TTAATTACTTTCTAACTGGCAATCTCATCTTGACCATTATTTTTCTACATAACCTCCAATATACATTTAATTTTTAAAAAGAAAACATTTACATTATGTATTTTAAAAAAACTACATTTAACTATCAAGCTCATTGTCTGGCCTCCAGTTGACGTAGTTTCCTGGTTAAATTATCCACTTCCAAACCCAAAACATCCAAGTTTTCCTAGAAAACAAAACAAAAAAAAAATTGATAAGCGAAAAAGTTACAACAATTTCTATTAAGTTTTGTTTTCACCTTAAGGGTAATATTCTTGAGCAGTGTATCCTCTAAAACCGCTTGTAGTTTTTTATTAATCTCTAACGACAATTCCAAAGACATGCTTTTATTTTCCACACCCTTAATGCCACCATAAATGGCGGACATAACACCATGACCATATTTGGCCAATTCACTTTTGTTCTGATCACTTTTCGAGGATGTCAAGGCTCCAGCCTGGTCACGCAACATGTAATATTGCACTACTTTGGATTTCTTTTGCAATTCAGCGACTAGCGACAGAGTATGCTGTTCGAGAAAATCTATTTTTTCAGTTTGTCTTGCGGAAGCTTGTTGTAAACGTAAAATACGTTCAACTAAATGTTTCTTGGATGGTCCCTTATTATCATCTTTAAAATCCATTTCGCGTCCCGTCACGGTATCCGATTCGGAAGATTCACTACCCCGTCTACTACCCGCCGCACTTTGTCCTCCCGTTGTACTAATACTACTTTGACGGCTGTGAGTTCTTTTCATATCTATTGCTTCTATAGCTGTTAGCTTATCCTCATTTTCCTTTTGATGGTAATGACCATTAGTTTGTGTGGAATTTTGACATCTGGAGCAGATAAAAGTACGATGATTATCGGCATTTTGTTCGGCTGCTCTTTTAAATTTAGCAATTTCTCTTTGAAGTTCTTTAACTATAGTGGCATGTTTATGTTTGGTGGCTTCAAAGTCGCCCAAAACATTTTCCAGCTTAATTTTGGTATTTTCATAAAGTTTCGTTTTTTCCGATAGATGTTTGGCCAATAGTAAACGTTCCTCGTTCTTTTGATTTTGTTCTTGCTTGAGTTGATTTTCCAAAGCGGCATACTTTTCATCATATTCCAAGCGTTCCTTTTTCAATAATTCATTTTCGGCAGCGGTGCCTTGAGCCTATAATTAAAATGAAAACAAAGTTTCAGAACATTTTTTAAGGATAATTTATAATTCTAAATCTCCATTTTTTTGGTTGTAGATTCAGGGGGATTCAGTTGAATTGCAAAAAAAAAAAAACGACGTGGCAACATTCTTTATTCAATTCTTAGTTTTGCAATAGTGCTGTTGTTTAGGGTTGAAGTTGTTGTGTTTATAAAGCATATTAACATGAGAGTGATTCATAGCCTCGGTGGCGCAGTAGGCAGCGCGTAAGTCTCATAATCTTAAGGTCGTGAGTTCGAGCCTCACCCGGGGCATATGTTTTTTGCAAAAATTTTATTTAAAATATTTATTTTATATTTTTTCTAATTTTCATTAAATTCGAATCTTAAGGTCTATAGTTCTAATTCAATTTTAGTTCAGTTCTGGTTCATTTTCAGTTCTAGTTCTGTTCTAGTTCAATTCTAGTTCAGTTTTGATTCAGTTCTGGTTCAGCTCTAGTTCAGTTCTGATACAGTTCTAGTTCAATCTTAATTTTATTTCAAAACTCACCTTAGATTTCAACAAACATATTTGATTTTGTAAATCCACAATACTTTCACTCATTTCCTTGTTAAAACTAAGAAATTCCTTTTCCTTAGCATGTAACTGCTGAAGATCCTGTTCATTGTCTTGTAGTTTTTGTACACACTCATTCAATTCCTGAGTTAAAGAAAAGATTTTGTCTTCGTTTCTAAAATGAACAAAGAAAAATTAAATGAATGAAATAAATAAACAATGAATAAAACAACCAAACTTACAAAGTATTTTGGGTTTTCAACACCTGCAACTCCTCCAATTGACCACGTAATTTGGCAGAATTTAACATTTCTTCACTGTAAGAATTTTGTATATGATTGTGTTCTTCCTGAAGACTATTAAAGCTGCTGAGCAATTGATTTTTCTTATAAAATTAACAATAAAGAAATATTATAAATTTTTTAAATGAAAACTACCACCAGCTTATTATTTATTACCTCTTGAGTTTCCTTATTTAACTGTTCTTGCAGTTGCTTAATGTTTTCCTTCTGTACTTCACACTCTTTAAACAATTTATCTAATTGTTCGGTTTTATTGGAAATTTCATGTTTCAATAAAATGGTTTGTGCCTCAAATTCAATTTTTAATTTTTCTAAAATATATTTCCATTAATGAAAATTACAAAATTGTATTACTTTCCGTGAAACTTACCATTAGCTTTCTCTTCCAATTTATTGGGAGCATTCTTTTCTTCTTCCAATTTCTTTTCCAAAGCCTTTTAAGTAAAAACAAAGTAAATTTAAATACTTTTATAGGTGTTTTCTTTTTGTATAACAACTACTTACCAATTTAGCTTCGGTTTCCATATTTAATTTGTTCATATGATACTTTAGTTTTGATTCCAAGTGCCCATAATCGGTTTTAAGTTTTTCACATTCTCTTTGGTATTTACGTACTTCATTGCACTATTGTTGTATTGATATTTTCAATATTAATTTTTTTAAATATGTAGGATTTTTTTATTATTTTACCTTTTCATCCATTAGATAAGTAACACGAGACTTTTCTTCATTTAATGCCTGAAACTTGGTGGTGTAGTTTTTGATTTCTTTCCTAGCATCGGCCAGTTGCTTTTCCACCATTTCCTTTTCTTTTTTGGCATCTATTACGGATTTTTCTTTCATGGCAAACTTTATGACTGTGGACTCTTTTTCTTTATTGGCAAGATCTTTTTCTTTCCGAAACTGAAAGTATAATGTATTGATGAAGCTAGAACTAAACTAGAACTGAACTAGAACTGGACTAGAACTGAACTAGAACTGAACTAGAACTGAACTAGAACTGAACTAGAACTGAACTAGAACTGAACTAGAACTGAACTAGAACTGAACTAGAACTGTACTAGAACTGAACTAGAACTGAACTAGAACTGAACTAGAACTGAACTAGAACTGAACTAGAACTGAACTAGAACTGAACTAGAACTGAACTAGAACTGAACTAGAACTGAACTAGAACTGAACTAGAACTGAACTAGAACTGAACTAGAACTGAACTAGAACTGAACTAGAACTGAACTAGAACTGAACTAGAACTGAACTAGAACTGAACTAGAACTGAACTAGAACTGAACTAGAACTAGAACTGAACTAGAACTGAACTAGAACTGAACTAGAACTGAACTAGAACTGAACTAGAACTGAACTAGAACTGAACTAGAACTGAACTAGAACTGAACTAGAACTGAACTAGAACTGAACTAGAACTGAACTAGAACTGAACTAGAACTGAACTAGAACTGAACTAGAACTGAATTAGAACTGAACTAAAACTGAACTAGAACCTTGATGAAGTGGTTCATAGAAAGATGGAGAGTTTAACTTACCGCCTCTTTTTCCTTTTCCAAAATGGCATTTTCTCTTTGGAACAGTGTAATCATATTGTCTTTTTGCTGCAAAGCAGCTTTTAACTGTTCCATTTGTTGTTCGTATTGTAACATTTGTTGTTGTAATTTCAAATCACAATCTTCATGTTGTACTTTTGCATTATTTACCTCCATAACTTCATCATGCTTTTCTGTCAAATCGGAGTAACGGACAGAGGGAGAATTGTTTACAGACGAAGAGGTAGAAACACTTGTTGGTTTAGTTTGGCCATTGCCTTCACCCACATCATGTTTGTTGCTTTCGTTGCTGTTGTTGGCATTTGAGACATTCTCTTGTGAATTTGTTGCTTTTGTTATTGTGACCGTTTCATCACCCTCCTCTACTTTTCCATTAATGACAGACGTTATTGATTTTTGTACTTCTTCGGTATTTGCGGGAATTTGAGTGGTATTTACAACATTAACTGTTGTGGTGTTATCATTAAAACTTTCTTCATTCATTATTTCTTTTCCCGTTGATGGCTGCTCCACTTGTTCCCCCCTTAGCAGATGAACGTCTGTTGCAGAAATATCTGCTGACGTTAATTGTTTTTGTTCACTTTGTATGGAATGTTGTTTTTCAAGATTTTCATCACATTTTGTGATATTATTTATAAATTCTTCTCTTTCCATGTTTTCAGTTACTTTAACTTATCTAGTGTTTTAAATTTATTATTAAATTTAATAATTTTATTTGTTTATTTAATTAATTGCATTTTTATGTTTTTTTTTTCTACGTGATTGTTTATTGTAAAAAATTTCACCGAATTCTTTTGATAGCAGTGTTGCTAATTCAGCATTTGCTCTTAGGAATTCAGCGATAAAAACGTCAATTTATTTATTAGCGAGATTTTCTGGCATTTGTATAGTGTTGCCATTTGTGCTTTTTAAATACATTTTTATTGAATTTTAAAATTTATTTTATATGTATTAAACAATTGTGATTCATCATCACACAGAGCAAATGGCTAAAATTAGAAAAAAAAAACTACCAAAGAGGGGAAAATGTAGAAATTTCGATTTATTGAAAGTCATTTAAACAATTTATATAAAGTTTTTAAAATATTTGAAATTCGTGTACTAAGGCCTATATAGGACCAAATTCGATAAGGTTTTTAAAATACATTACAACACGGAATATAATTCATAAAATAGGGAATATAGTACTACTATTTAACAGGGAATATTTTGAAAACTTTATCTCCGAAACAGTCGAAAAAAGTAACCATTTTCTTAGAGCTTTCCACAAAGAAAAAAACTGTTTTATCGTTCTGAAATACGATTTTCAGTTTAATAACGATAAAAAGCGAATAATGTACAAAACAGCTCTTAAATCTTTATTAATTCCAAAAAAATGTTTAATGTCTTTTAAATATAACAGAAATTGCAAGCATTCGCCAAAGTGTAAACACGCCCTAGAAACAGCTGTAAAATACAGTGTTGTAAAGTGTAAGAAAAACTAAAGGAAAAAACAGCTGCCAAACAAATGTGAGTTGTTGTTTTGAAAAATTTCACCAATTGTTGCTTATTTTCTTAAATTAATAAAAGTTTAATAATAAATAATTTACAAAAATACAGAAAATGGTTTGTGCTCTAGGTATAGAAGGCAGTGCCAATAAAATTGGTATAGGCATTACCAAAGATGGAGAAGTTTTGGCTAATGTCAGAAAAACCTACATAACGCCACCGGGTGAAGGTATTTTTTTCATTTTTTTTTAATGTAAGAATTTCATCATTTACATTTTATTAAAGGCTTCCTACCCAAGGAAACGGCCAAACATCATCGCGAACAAATTTTGGAGTTAATCAAGGAAGCTTTAAAAACTGCACAAATGACTGCCGCCGATTTAGATGTTATTTGTTATACGAAGGGGCCGGGTATGGCGCCACCTTTATTAGTTGGCGCCATTGTAGCGCGTACTCTATCTTTGCTGTGGCAAAAACCTTTGCTGGGTGTTAATCACTGTATTGGCCACATAGAAATGGGACGCTTTATTACGGGAGCCAAAAATCCCATTGTTTTGTATGTTAGTGGTGGTAACACCCAAGTGATTGCCTACTCAAATAAACGTTATCGTATTTTTGGTGAGACTATTGATATTGCTGTAGGAAATTGTTTAGATCGTTTTGCCAGGATTATTAAGCTGTCGAATGATCCTAGTCCTGGTTATAATATCGAACAATTGGCCAAGGAGGGTAAACAGTTTGTTAAGCTGCCCTATGTGGTAAAAGGTAAGTAGAAAGTTGAGAACAAGTTATACAATTAAGGATAAGATTCATAAGTTGTAATTATCCTACATGCGATATTTGGCTACTAGCAAACTTTGCATAAGATTTTTTAATTCATGAGCTAAGTACGGCTTAAGAATAACAATAATTTTTTGCAGGTTAATATTATGAATTTTATTTCATTGCAGGTATGGATGTTAGCTTTTCTGGCATACTTTCACACATTGAAGAAATTGCCGATCCCTCGAAAAGGCGCAATAAACGTAAAAAGGCTGATGAACCTGAAGAACCAGAATATACCAAAGCTGATCTATGTTATTCCCTACAAGAGACCATATTTGCCATGTTAGTTGAGATTACAGAAAGAGCCATGGCTCATTGCGAATCAAATGAGGTAAATATATAGACTAGACTATAAACTAAATTATAGAATAAACTATGTACTAGACTATAGACTATAAAGTAGACTATAAACTAGACCGTAGATTAGACTATACTAGACTATATATAGACTATATACTAGACTATAAACTAGTTGATAAATTAATAATAAGAATATACTCTCAACACGTTCGCAAACATCGATCTAAATCAAGACCCATTTACTTTAAATTTTATATTTTTAACTTAATTTAAAGGTACTTATCGTGGGTGGTGTAGGCTGTAATGAACGTCTACAGGATATGATGCGTATTATGTGTGAAGAAAGAGGTGGTAAACTATTTGCCACCGATGAACGTTATTGCATAGATAATGGCTTAATGATAGCACATGCTGGCGCCGAAATGTTTAAGGCAGGCACTCGAATGGAGTTCGAAGATTCTTTTGTAACACAAAGATATCGCACCGATGAGGTGTTGGTAACCTGGCGAGATGACTAAATCAACAACAGTTAACATATTTTTTTATAATAAAGGACTTCTCTATCAAGATAAACAACAATCAAGATATTTTAAAAAGAACAATAACAGGTATGTAAATATTTATTTTAAAAATGAAATCATAAAATTATTAAGCTTCTTATTTGCTATCACATTTGAAAAGAAATAATTATCTTTCGTACACCTCTTATTCATTTAATTCCTTCTCTATACCCGTCCAATAACGTTTCATATCAATGGGAAACAAACGTTTTCCCTCTATAATATAAACAGAGCCATTTTCTTGTTTCTCCAAAGCACTTAAAATACAGCGTGAAACATCAGCAGCACTTTGTTTATTTAAACGATCTAATACCAAATACGATTCATCACTCATTTCTGGAAATAGCATTTTTTCAGTGAAATTGGTAAACATATCGGTAATGGTAGCGCCTGGACAAACTGTTATAAACTTAACACCATGACGTTGGTAATAAATTTCTTTCTTCATAATTAAAAACAAAAAACAATGAACTCTTGTACTCAATAATTAAAAGAAATTACAAAATTTTACTTACTCCCAAGCAGCGAGTAAAATTAATAATTCCTGCCTTTGTGGCCGCATATATTGGCACCAAAAACATGGGATCTAAACCCACCACTGAGGCCATGTTGCATATTAAGCCTCCTTTGCCACCCTTTTCCTTACTCATTGCTTTCATGGCATTTAAACTGGAATTAATCATGCCACCCAAGTTTACCATTAAAGTACGTTGAACATCTTGATCGTTGAAAAGACCAGCCACATTAACCACTATATCCAAATGGCCAAAAGTTTTTAAAATTTCCTCATAGGTAGCCTCAATACCCTTAGCATTGGCCACATCCATTTTGATTAACAACAAGTGTTGAGCTGGAAAGGCAGCTCTTAAAATAACTATCTCTTCCAAGTTGTCCTGTAAATCTATTATGGCCACTTTCTGTAATAAAACTCCCATTAAATTTTATTCAGTTTCATTAAAATCTTCAACTTACATGTACATCATGCATTAGCAATTGTTTAACCACTTGTAAGCCTATGCCATTGGCACCGCCTGTTACTATAGCATGTTTTCCCTTAAAAGCCATCTTGTATTTAATACTTTCCACGATTTTTAAATGTATATCCTTTTCCTCTCTTTGTATTGTCTTCAAACGCCAAATATTAAAATAGCAATCCAGTTTGGTCTTTGTTGCGTTGGCGTTCAACTTAAAATGCGGTTAAAATATACAATTGAGGTCGATTTTATATATCTTTTTCCAAGAGTGTTATTTGATATTCCCCCATTGTTTTTTTTTGCATATTCGTAAAGATTACTTAACTTTTCATAACATGTAACCATACATTACAGGTGTAGTTGTAGATATTAATTTCAAATTGTAATGATTACTCTCCCCGTTCAATGAGCTGTTGAATTTTTGTAGTTTTTGTTTAATTTTTTCATAAGAAGAAATACATTTATTTGGTTTTATTTACAGTGTCTAGTTAACTGTGTTTTGTTGAACTTTTTTAACAAAATGTTTAACCTCTGATTACAGTTACTAAGAGGAATTTTTAATATAGTTTTAAAATTAAGTGTAATATTTTAACCACTGTCGCTCTACTTAAAGTAATTTTCACTCAATTGTTTTTGAAATTGAATTAAAATGAGTTGGACGGCTGCAGTTATATTCTTCTGTGTTAATTGAGAATTAAAGTTTTTTTGCAGATAATATTTTTATTATTATTTGGAAAATATGCATTTTCATTATTTTGAAAGGAATTATGGTCCGATAATCCTCCTGGACAAAGTTCCTTAGAATTTTACAATCAGAGTTTCAGTTTGCAAGATATTTGGATCTAAATTCGATGAACGCCTGTAAATGAGACAGAAACTCATTCAGCGTTTCACTTCATGATCCTAGCCATCGTTCACCTATTCCAAGTCACCGTATGGGATTTTCCCGACCATCAGGTTAACTTTCTCTAGTTCCATTCCCTTTATAGCAAGTAATACAACTAGAACTAACTAGAACTGAACTAGAACTGAACTAGAACTGAACTAGAACTGAACTAGAACTGAACTAGAACTGAACTAACTGAACTAGAACTGAACTAGAACTGAACTAGAACTGAACTAGAACTGAACTAGAACTGAACTAGAACTGAACTAGAACTGAACTAGAACTGAACTAGAACTGAACTAGAACTGAACTAGAACTGAACTAGAACTGAACTAGAACTGAACTAGAACTGAACTAGAACTGAACTAGAACTGAACTAGAACTGAACTAGAACTGAACTAGAACTGAACTAGAACTGAACTAGAACTGAACTAGAACTGAACTAGAACTGAACTAGAACTGAACTAGAACTGAACTAGAACTGAACTAGAACTGAACTAGAACTGAACTAGAACTGAACTAGAACTGAACTAGAACTGAACTAGAACTGAACTAGAACTGAACTAGAACTGAACTAGAACTGAACTAGAACTGAGCTAGAACTGAACTAGAACTGAACTAGAACTGAACTAGAACTGAGCTAGAACTGAACTAGAACTGAACTAGAACTGAACTCGAACTGAACTAGAACTGAACTAGAACTGAGCTAGAACTGAGCTAGAACTGAACTAGAACTGAACTAGAACTGAACTAGAACTGAACTAAAGAACTGAACTAGAACTGACAACTAGAACTGAACTGAACTGAACTAGAACTGAACTAGAACTGAACTAGAACTGAACTAGAACTGAACTAGAACTCAACTAGAACTGAACTAGAACTGAACTAGAACTGAACTAGAACTGAACTAGAACTGAGCTAGAACTGAGCTAGAACTGAACTAGAACTGAACTAGAACTGAACTAGAACTGAACTAGAACTGAACTAGAACTGAACTAGAACTGAACTAGAACTGAACTAGAACTGAACTAGAACTGAACTAGAACTGAACTAGAACTGAACTAGAACTGAACTAGAACTGAACTAGAACTGAACTAGAACTGAACTAGAACTGAACTAGAACTGAACTAGAACTGAACTAGAACTGAACTAGAACTGAACTAGAACTGAACTAGAACTGAACTAGAACTGAACTAGAAACTGAACTAGAACTGAACTAGAACTGAACTAGACTGACTGAACTGACTAGAACTGAACTAGAACTGAACTAGAACTGAACTAGAACTGAACTAGAACTGAACTAGAACTGAACTAGAACTGAACTAGAACTGAACTAGAACTGAACTAGAACTGAACTAGAACTGAACTAGAACTGAACTAGAACTGAACTAGAAACTGAACTAGAACTGAAACTAGAACTGAACTAGAACTGAACTAGAACTGAACTAGAACTGAACTAGAACTGAACTAGAACTGAACTAGAACTGAACTAGAACTGAACTAGAACTGAACTAGAACTGAACTAGAACTGAACTAGAACTGAACTAGAACTGAACTAGAACTGAACTAGAACTGAACTAGAACTGAGCTAGAACTGAGCTAGAACTGACTAGAACTGAACTAGAACTGACTAGAACTGAACTAGACTGAACTAGAACTGAACTAGAACTGAACTAGAACTGAACTAGAACTGAACTAGAACTGAACTAGAACTGAGCTAGAACTGAACTAGAACTGAACTAGAACTGAACTAGAACTGAACTAGAACTGAACTGAACTGAACTGAACTAGAACTGAACTAGAACTGAACTAGAACTGAACTAGAACTGAACTAGAACTGAACTAGAACTGAACTAGAACTGAACTAGAACTGAACTAGAACTGAACTAGAACTGAACTAGAACAGAACTAGAACTGAACTAGAACTGAACTAGAACTGAACTAGAACTGAACTAGAACTGAACTAGAACTGAACTAGAACTGAACTAGAACTGAACTAGAACTGAACTAGAACTGAACTAGAACTGAACTAGAACTGAACTAGAACTGAACTAGAACTGAACTAGAACTGAGCTAGAACTGAACTAGAACTGAACTAGAACTGAACTAGAACTGAGCTAGAACTGAACTAGAACTGAACACGAACTGAACTAGAACTGAACTAGAACTGAGCTAGAACTGAACTAGAACTGACTGAACTAGAACTGAACTAGAACTGAACTAGAACTGACTAGAACTGAACTAGAACTGAACTAGAACTGAACTATAACGTGAACTAGGAACGGAGAACTAGAACTAGAAGGAACTAGACTGAACTGTAACTAGAACTGAACGTAGAACTGAACTAGAACTAGAACTATAACTAGAACTGAACTAAGAACTGAGCTAGAACTGAGCTAGAACTGAGCTAGAATGAACTAGAACTGAATCTAGAACTGAACTAGAACTGAGCTAGAACTACTAGAACTGAGGGCTAGACTGAACTAGAACTGACCTAGACAACTGAACTAGAACTGAACTAGAACTGAACTAGAACTGAAATGAACTGGAACTGAACTAGACTGAACTAGATACTGAACTAGCACTGAACTAGAACTGAACTAGAACTGAGCTAGAACTGAACTAGAACTGAAGGCTAGAACTGAACTAGAACTGAACTAGAACTGAACTAGAACTGAACTGAACTAGACTGAACTAGAACTAACTAGAACTGAACTAGAACTGAACTAGAACTGAACTAGAACTGAACTAGAACTGAACTAGAACTGAACTAGAACTGAACTAGAACTGAACTAGAACTGAACTAGAACTGAACTAGAACTGAACTAGAACTGAACTAGAACTGAACTAGAACTGAACTAGAACTGAACTAGAACTGAACTAGAACTGAACTAGAACTGAACTAGAACTGAACTAGAACTGAACTAGAACTGAACTAGAACTGAACTAGAACTGAACTAGAACTGAACTAGAACTGAACTAGAACTGAACTAGAACTGAGCTAGAACTGAACTAGAACTGAACTAGAACTGAACTAGAACTGAGCTAGAACTGAACTAGAACTGAACACGAACTGAACTAGAACTGAACTAGAACTGAGCTAGAACTGAACTAGAACTGAACTAGAACTGAACTAGAACTGAACTAGAACTGAACTAGAACTGAACTAGAACTGAACTGAACTAGAACGGAACTAGAACTGAACTGAACTAGAACTGAACTAGAACTGAACTAGAACTGAACTAGAACTAGAACTGAACTAGAACTGAACTAGAACTGAGCTAGAACTGAGCTAGAACTGAGCTAGAACTGAACTAGAACTGAACTAGAACTGAACTAGAACTGAACTAGAACTGAACTAGAACTGAACTAGAACTGAACTAGAACTGAACTAGAACTGAACTAGAACTGAGCTAGAACTTAACTAGAACTTAACTAGAACTGAACTAGAACTGAACTAGAACTGAACTAGAACTGAACTAGAACTGAACTAGAACTGAACTAGAACTGAACTAGAACTAAACTAGAACTGAACTAGAACTGAACTAGAACTGAACTAGAACTGAACTAGAACTGAACTAGAACTGAACTAGAACTGAACTAGAACTGAGCTAGAACTGAACTAGAACTGAACTAGAACTGAACTAGAACTGAACTAGAATTGAACTGAGCTAAACTAGAACTGAACTAGAACTGAACTAGAATTCAACTAGAACTGAACTAGAACTGAACTCGAACTGAACTCGAACTGAACTAGAGCTGAACTTGGACTGAACCTAGGACTGAACAGGAACTGTACTAGAACTTAACGACAACTGTATCAGAACTGAACTAGAACTGAACTAGAACTGAACTAGAACTGAACTAGAACTGAACTAGAACTGAACTAGAACTGAACTAGAACTGAACTAGAACTGAACTAGAACTGAACTAGAACTGAACTAGAACTGAACTAGAACTGAACTAGAACTGAACTAGAACTGAACTAGAACTGAACTAGAACTGACTAGAACTGAACTAGAACTGAACTAGAACTGAACTAGAACTGAACTAGAACTGAACTAGAACTGAACTAGAACTGAACTAGAACTGAACTAGAACTGAACTAGAACTGAACTAGAACTGAACTAGAACTGAACTAGAACTGAACTAGAACTGAACTAGAACTGAACTAGAACTGAACTAGAACTGAACTAGAACTGAACTAGAACTGAACTAGAACTGAACTAGAACTAGAACTGAACTAGAACTGAACTAGAACTGAACTAGAACTTAACCTAAACTGAACTAGAACTGAACTAGAACTGAACTAGAACTGAACTAGAACTGAACTAGAACTGAACTAGAACTGAACTAGAACTGAACTAGAACTGAACTAGAACTGAACTAGAACTGAACTAGAACTGAACTAGAACTGAACTAGAACTGAACTAGAACTGAACTAGAACTGAACTAGAACTGAACTAGAACTGAACTAGAACTGAACTAGAACTGAACTAGAACTGAACTAGAACTGAACTGAACTGAACTAGAACTAGCACTGAACAAGAACACAACTAGAACTGAACTAGTACTGAACTAGAACCGAACAAGAAATGAATATGAACTAAACTACAACTCAAATTGAAATACTAATTTACATTTCATGTAAAACTATATTACATAAAACACATGCCCATTTTTAATTTTTAATATAGTTTTTATTAAGTTTTATAAAACATTTATCATAATTTGACAACTTGATAAGAGACATTAAAATGTAAACCCTGTTTAAGTAAAATTATATCTTCAAATACGAGTTGTCAAACTTTAACCAATGAAATAAATATTGCATTTTAATACAGGCTGTGTACATACTTTAAAAAGTTCTATAGGTATAGGAAAAATTTGAACTATTAATGTTTTTGTTTTCTGGGTAGAAAAGTTTATCCAAACATTTTGGAGGGATAGGATTGTTTAAGGCTAAAACAATAAATAAATAAAACAAAATCCATCAAAAAATGTACACTAAATAAAAATTATCACAATTTATTTAAAGAAACAAAACAATTTAAAGAACAATGAAAAATTACTCAAAAATTAATTAAAATGTTTAACTTAAACAAAAAATTAAAATAAAATTGTGCTTCTGTGGAAAGGAATTTACATTTAACTTACTTAACTAAACTGTTGAGGCTTAAATATAAGTTTTTTGTTGTTGTTTGTAGCTAATATTATATAAATTAGTAAAATTTTATAATAAAAAATGTTTTGATTTTAAATTTATAAGAGTCCATTATAAATGTATACAAAAATTTAATTGCCAGTAGCAGGATAGGTATCCTTATTTTGATAGCCGGAAACATAGCCAGAGTCATCAACAATATTTTTGCGTCCAGCAATACCTTTACCCTTGCCAGTGGCATCAAAACGTTCCTTATGAGATCCAGTATACTTGCTTGTGTCAGTTAAACGTTCTACAGCAGAAGCAGCTTTGCCAGCCTGCACATATAAGAACAATAAACTATTTGCTTGACCAATTTTTATGTAAAAAACTTACCGATACTTGCATTACTCCCGGAGCTCCACATGAAGCCATTTTATTTTTAATTTCAGACAATTCAACCTTTTTGGTTTTAGCCAAATCCTCCAGGAATTTATTATAATCAGCATAAGAGATTTTCATGGCCTTGAATTTTTTAAAGTGAATACCAGTATCGGTGGTGGTGATTTTCTTATCGATAACTTTAGCTTGTTTCATCCATTTGTCACTCTGTGATAGTGTGATCAATTTACCATCGGATTTGGTATCACCGAATTTCGAAAAGGCCTTAAATTGATCTTGGAATGATACTTTTGGCTCTTCTAAAGCCATCTCAGCTAATTCAGCGGTGGGAGGGGCTGGAGAGGCACTGCCATTTGTTGCTTCATCAGACATGGTGGTTCTGCAATCAAGAAATAATTCAGATTTAAGAATAAGTTTTGACAGATATATTGTGAGAAGTACTGATGATCTCAGCATCATTATTTTGATGTAGTAAACCTAGAACTGAACTAAAACTGAACTAGAACTGAACTAGAACTGAACTAGAACTGAACTAGAACTGAACTAGAACTGAACTAGAACTGAACTAGAACTGAAACTAGAACTGAACTAGAACTGAACTAGAACTGAACTAGAACTGAACTAGAACTGAACTAGAAACTGAACTAGAACTGAACTAGAACTGAACTAGAAACTGAACTAGAACTGAACTAGAACTGAACTAGAACTGAACTAGAACTGAACTAGAACTGAACTAGAACTGAACTAGAACTGAACTAGAACTAGAACTGAACTAGAACTGAACTAGAACTGACTAGAACTGAACTAGAACTGAAACTAGAACTGAACTAGAACTGAACTAGAACTGAACTAGAACTGAACTAGAACTGAACTAGAACTGAACTAGAACTGAACTAGAACTGAACTAGAACTGAACTAGAACTGAACTAGAACTGAGACTAGAAACTGAACTAGAACTGAACTAGAACTGAACTAGAACTGAACTAGAACTGAATACTAGAACTGAACTAGAACTGACACTAGAACTGAACTAGAACTGAACTAGAACTGAACTAGAACTGAACTAGAACTGACTAGAACTGAACTCGAACTGAACTAGAACTGAACTTAGAACTGACTAGACTGAACTAGAACTGAACTAGAACTGAACTAGAACTGAACTAGAACTGAACTAGAACTGAACTAGAACTGAACTAGAACTGAACCTAGAACTGAACTAGAACTGAACTAGACTGAACTAGAACTGAACTAGAACTGAACTAGAACTGAACTAGAACTGAACTAGAACTGACTAGAACTGAACTAGAACTGAACTAGAACTGAACTAGAACTGAACTAGAACTGAACTAGAACTGAACTAGAACTGAACTAGAACTGAACTAGAACTGAAACTGGAACTGAACTAGAACTGAACTAGAACTAGAACTGAACTAGAACTGAACTAGAACTGAACTAGAACTGAACTAGAATTGAACTAGAACTGAACTAGAACTAAACTAGCACTAAACTAAAAATAGTTATGATCCTGAATAGAAATAAAAGAAGTAATTACTTTGAAGTACTTTTAAACATTCCAAAATATGGTATCTCGCACTCACCTATGAGCGGCTGTTCTTGCAATCATACTATGCATGTTTCAGTTTTGCTTTTTTTAATCCAAACTTTTAATATAAAATAGTTTTATATTAAAAATTAAAAATTCCTGTTAAGAAGCAGCAATTAATATTTTTACGAATAAAACTAAATTTATTAAATCAATTTGAAAATAGGTTTTAGTTATTAACCAATGACCCTTAAAGGGTTAAAATGTCTCTCAAACAAATCAATTTAAAAAGTAAATGGTTGTTGTAGGTCGTAATTTTAAATAAATATTTCCAAATACATAATGCAAAGTGGATATTTAATATTTTTAAGTAAATATTATTAAAAAGAATTTATAATTTTAAATTTTGTTCATTAACACACTTGTTTATTTTGTTATTATTTATTTAAACTTAATTTATGACAGATATTTATTGTCTTTAAACTGATAAATAAATTCTTATCATACATTTGCCACAAATTAGCTAAACAAAAATACAAATAATTGTGCACTGATGTCACAAAATTCAAGTATTTCGATTTAAAAACACAATTCAATGAACACACGACTACGTTTTCTTACAAATTTAAATGACAAAAAAGACAATAAAAAAGGTTCTTCTATCTTTTCTTCTTTTCCACCAATATTCTTATCAATTGGTATTTTTAACACAATTTACAATTAATTATTGTTTTGCGATTTTAAATATTTGTTTTGTTTTTTGTTTTTGTTTTTCTTAAACTTTCTACAGAGCTTATAGTCAGTTCTCTTTCTTTTTTCGAGTGAAATCAAACTGATTGTTAAACAAATTTTTTAATATTTTATTAGCAGCATTTTAATGGTCTTTAATTCATTGCGTTTCTTATATCATTTTTTGTAGTTTTTTTCTATGTATGTATATATTTGTTTTATTTAGTCGAGATGATATCATAGTAAAACATTTTGTTGAAAGAAAGAAGAATATAAACTTTATATGTAGAAAATAATAATAGTATTATTTATTATATATTCCTAGAGGTACCGGTAAATCACACTCGTGTGTTAATCATTGTATTATTTCATTTTTAAATTAAAAACAAAGTTTAAGTCGATTTTAATGGGTTGTGTATTCGAAAAAATACAAGGTTAAGTTGATATTTTAAAATAAATGCCGAGAAATCCACTTTGATTCTTCCTATATTCTTGGCAGTCCTAAAATAAGTTTCCATATTTGTTTCTGTTATTAGTCTAGACAGCAGTTAATTATGTTTACATATTGGGTTGCTTAAATCGTGAGTAGTTCGATTGGTCCCTTTATACCTTTTAAGTAATCTATCGTAAAGTCAATTGCTGCTGCTTTGCAAATTCATTACTTTATTTATTGCATTTCAGTTAATAAAAGTTCATTTTCATCAGAATGTCACAAATGACTTATTAAACTGAATATACTTTTATACACTGGGTATCAAAAATATAATTTAAATTAAACCTTGCCTTCTAGCACATAAGAAATCTTATCAGTTGTGTGTTAAAAAAAAAAAAAAACTTAAAAACAACAATACTGACGTTTTTGTATTATTCCAGTGAATTTTTGTATAAAAAATTACTTCAATATTTAGCTTTTATTTGTTTGCCAATTACAATACATTTTGTTAAACTATTTTTATTAACACCATTAAAAAATTTTAATTTAAATATTTAAATAATTATACCGTTCAAATTTTATTTTGAACTATTATTTATCAGTTTATTGCACTATGGGAAAAATTATTTTGCAACTCCATTAACTATAACTGAACTATAACTGAACTAGAACTGAACTAGAACTGAACTAGAACTGAACTAGAACTGAACTAGAACTGAACTAGAACTGAACTAGAACTGAACTAGAACTGAACTAGAACTGAACTAGAACTGAACTAGAACTGAACTAGAACTGAACTAGAACTGAACTAGAACTGAACTAGAACTGAACTAGAACTGAACTAGAACTGAACTAGAACTGAACTAGAACTGAACTAGAACTGAAATAGAACTGAACTAGAACTGAACTAGAACTGAACTAGAACTAGAACTGAACTAGAACTAGAACTGAACTAGAACTAGAACTGAACTAGAAACTAGAACTGAACTAGAACTGAACTAGAACTGAACTAGAACTGAACTAGAACTGAACTAGAACTGAACTAGAACTGAACTAGAACTGAACTAGAACTGAACTAGAACTGAACTAGAACTGAACTAGAACTGAACTAGAACTGAACTAGAACTGAACTAGAACTGAACTAGAACTGAACTAGAACTGAACTAGAACTGAAACTAGAACTGAACTAGAACTGAACTAGAACTGAACTAGAACTGAACTAGAACTGAACTAGAACTGAACTAGAACTGAACTAGAACTGAACTAGAACTGAACTAGAACTGAACTAGAACTGAACTAGAACTGAACTAGAACTGAACTAGAAACTGAACTAGAACTGAACTAGAACTGAACTAGAACTGAACTAGAACTGAACTAGAACTGAACTAGAACTGAACTAGAACTGAACTAGAACTGAACTAGAACTGAAACTAGACTGAACTAGAACTGAACTAGAACTGAACTAGAACTGAACTAGAACTGAACTAGAACTGAACTAGAACTGAACTAGAACTGAACTAGAACTGAACTAGAACTGAACTAGAACTGAACTAGAAACTGAACTAGAACTGAACTAGAACTGAACTAGAACTGAACTAGAACTGAACTAGAACTGAACTAGAACTGAACTAGAACTGAACTAGAACTGAACTAGAACTGAACTAGAACTGAACTAGAACTGAACTAGAACTGAACTAGAACTGAACTAGACAGGAACTGAACTAAAACTGAACTACAACTGAACTACAACTGAACTACAACTGAACGAGAATTGCACATGAACTGAACTAGAACTGAACTTGAGCTAGAACTGAACTAGAAACTGAACTAGAACTGAACTAGAACTGAACTAGAACTGAACTAGAACTGAACTAGAACTGAACTAGAACTGAACTAGAACTGAACTAGAACTGAACTAGAACTGAACTAGAACTGAACTAGAACTAACTAGAACTGAACTAGAACTGAACTAGAACTGAACTAGAACTGAACTAGAACTGAACTAGAAACTGAACTAGAACTGAACTAGAACTGAACTAGAAACTGAACTAGAACTGAACTAGAACTGAACTAGAAATGAACTAGAACTGAAACTAGAACTGAACTAGAAACTGAACTAGAACTGAACTAGAACTGAACTAGAACTGAACTAGAACGAACTAGAACTGAACTAGATAGACTGAACTAGAACTGAACTAGAACTGAACTAGAATGAACTAGAACTGAACTAGAATGAACTAGAACTGAACTAGAACTGAACTAGAACTGAACTAGAATGAACTAGAACTGAACTAGAACTGAACTAGAACTGAACTAGAACTGAACTAGAACTGAACTAGAACTGAACTAGAACTGAACTAGAACTGAACTAGAACTGAACTCTAGAACTGAACTAGAACTGAACTAGAATGAACTAGAACGACCTAGAACTGAACTAGAACTGAACTAGAACTGAACTAGGAACTGAACTAGAACTGAACTAGAACTGAACTAGAAACTGAACTAGAACTTGAACTAGAACTGAACTAGAAACTGAACTAGAACTGAACTAGAAACTGAACTAGAACTGAACTAGAACTGAACTAGAACTGAACTAGAACTGAACTAGAACTGAACTAGAACTGAACTAGAACTGAACTAGAACGAACTAGAACTGAACTAGAACTGAACTAACTGAACTAGAACTGAACTAGAACTGAACTAGAACTGACTAGAACTAAACTGAACTAGAACTGAACTAGAACTGAACTAGAACTACTAGAACTAAACTAGAACTGAACTAGAACTGAACTAGAACTGAACTAGAACTGAACTAGAACTGAACTAGAACTGAACTAGAACTGAACTAGAACTGAACTAGAACTGAACTAGAACTGAACTAGAACTGAACTAGAACTGAACTAGAACTGAACTAGAACTGAACTAGAACTGAACCAGAACTGAACTAGAACTGAACTAGAACTGAACTAGAACTGAACTAGAACTGAACTAGAACTGAACTAGAATTGAACTAGAACTGAAATAGAACTGAACTAGAACTCAACTAGAACTGAACTTGAACTGAACTTGAACTGAACTTGAACTGAACTAGAACTAAACTAGAACTGAACTAGAACTGAACTAGAACTAAACTGGATCTTAACTAAAACTAAATTAGAATTAATCTAGATCTGAACTATAAATTTATTTAAAACTATTCTTCACCCATTGTGCACAGAGTAATAACCAGTTCTTTAATGTTAAATTTACTATTTTTAACTTATTGAATACTTCAAAATTTTAAACACTTACTATGTACCAGTAAATCCTTAAATTACCAGCACGCACTCCATCCAAAAAACACCTCCTTTACCCAAAAATATTTATTTTTAAAACAATCAATAAAAATTGTTTTTCATTAATTGAATTTTTATTAATAATTACCATTGTAGGACTACAAATTTTAAATATAAATCATTTTGAAATAATTGACCAGCCTAAAGCTGATAAAGTTTTAATAAAAAACATATAAATTTTACACATACATATGTATGTAAGACATAAAATTGTCTATACAATTTATATTTACATTTTTTATTTATTTATTATTATTATGATGATTAACAAAATTATTTTAAACTAAAAAAACATCGTTTTTAATTTATTCTTTACTGTCGTATACGGCCACAAACAAATTCATAATTTACATCGAACAATTGTGGCAAAATCATTAATTTTAGACTTGTTTAATATTAAAAAACTCAAAATTGTATTTTTGTGGTCTTTTGTCCAGTTTTGCTTTATAGATTTTATCGTTTATATTTTTTATTGTTTTTCACGGTTTAGAGTCCATGTTTAATTTTTTTTTGAGTTAACATTTTAACTATAACCGTAGGTTATAGTTTGATACTGTATGAAACATGTTGTAGGAACTTGTATAAAAATCATATTATATCATCTTGTTAATTAAGTTTTGATTTATTTTTATTTTATGTATTTTTGAAATTTTACAATTGACCATAACTGATCATGATAGAGATAATGATGATTACAATGTCATTTGTTTTATTAGGTTTAATCATGAATATAAAATCTGGAAATTTAAAACTGAATATTAGGGAATTATAGCGTGATTGGTAATGAGAAAAAACAATAGTTTTTAAAATTGTCATATGTGTATGACTTGAAAAGAACCCATGGTTGATATACATAAATCCCAACATTTAACTTTAACTGTCAGTAACCTTTACATCGAATGTATTGAAAACAATATTCCTTAAATTCTAAATATATTTCACTCTGGGTAGGTCAAGGTTGCGAGCAGCCAACCTTAAAATGTAATTATTAATACAACATCCGTAATATGATGCGTTACGCGATAACTACAATGTTGCCACCATCCCATAAACCACCCATAAACAAAATACTTTGGCAAATAAACTCAAAACACACTCTTGTTTTCATTTTTCATCCCGCTGACATCAACTTTTGCAAACAAAAAATATTGAAAGTAAAAAACACAACGTTTAATATAACATCTATGTACACAAAACTATTTCTAAAGTACATTTAGCAAAAAAGTGCACATCATCATTAAAAGAGTATTTAGCAGCGAATATAGGAATTATGTCATTGTGTTTTTGACATCATATTGGGA